CAGCCCGCTGGCCATGGAGTACGTCAACGACTTCGACCTGCTCAAGTTCGACGTGAAGAAGGAGCCCCTGGGGCGCACCGAGCGCCCGGGCCGCCTCTGTACGCGCCTGCAGCCTGCTGGCTCGGTGTCATCCACGCCGCTTAGCACTCCGTGTAGCTCGGTGCCCTCGTCGCCCAGCTTCAGCCCGACGGAGCAGAAGACCCACCTGGAGGACTTGTACTGGATGGCGAGCAACTACCAGCAGATGAACCCCGAGGCGCTCAACCTGACTCCCGAAGACGCGGTGGAGGCGCTCATCAGCTCCCACCCAGTGCCCCAGCCGCTGCAGAGCTTCGACGGCTTCCGAGGCGCGCACCATCACCACCACCACCACCACCCACACCCGCACCACGCGTACCCGGCCGCCGGCGTGGCCCACGACGACCTGGGCCCGCACGCGCACCCGCACCATCACCACCATCACCAAGCGTCGCCGCCGCCGTCCAGCGCTGCCAGCCCCACGCAGCAGCTCCCCACCAGCCACCCCGGGCCCGGGCCGCACGCAGCGGCCGCCGCGACGGCAGCAGGCGGCAGTGGCAGCGTGGAGGACCGCTTCTCCGACGACCAGCTCGTGTCCATGTCAGTGCGCGAGCTGAACCGCCACCTGCGGGGCTTCACCAAGGACGAGGTGATCCGCCTAAAGCAGAAGCGCCGGACCCTGAAGAACCGGGGCTACGCCCAGTCGTGCAGGTATAAACGTGTCCAGCAGAAACACCACCTGGAGAATGAGAAGACGCAGCTCATTCAGCAGGTGGAGCAGCTTAAGCAGGAGGTGTCCCGGCTGGCCCGCGAGAGAGACGCCTACAAGGTCAAGTGTGAGAAACTCGCCAACTCCGGCTTCAGGGAGGCGGGCTCCACCAGCGACAGCCCCTCCTCTCCCGAGTTCTTTCTGTGAGTCGTGGCCGCTCTCGGCCCCCGCCCTTGCCCCCCACCTGGACTCCCCGTCCTGTATCCTCAGCCCTGGACCTTCCCGGACCCTGACCCTGCCATGGCCCCAGCCTTGACCCGTTTGACTTGGAGAGGGAGGAAGGGCTCGAGGGCTGCGGGTGACGGGAGGGCGCGCGGGTGGGTAGGGGACCTCCGCCAAGGCGAGGGCAACCCGTGCCAGCGCCGCCTCCTAGACTCGAGCAAAGCCAGACAGACCAGGGGGTGGGAGGTCCTCAAGCAACTTTTCTCCAGGCTGCAGGACAGCGAGGCATAGTCCTCCAGACTCGCCAAGGCCTGGCTTTGTGAACTTTGCGCATTAAGCGCGGGCCGCTTCTTCGCTGCCGGGAGCGCAGTTCGCCCTAGGAAGAGAGCAGCAAGGAGAGGAGAGAAGGGAGACCCTGGCGTGCCCGCAGGCTCCAGAGGAGGCTGAGCCCAGGAAGGAAGGACAAACGGACCTAGCTGTTCAGGGTCCTCAGAACCTTGGCTGTCAGCCTGGGGCCGCGCGCGGACCTCTGTTAAGACGCGCGGCGCGCAAATCTCATCAGTTTTATTGCCTGCTCGATGATATAGAAAAAAATACGAAAATCTGCATTAAAAATATTAATCCTGCATGCTGGACATGTATGGTAATAATTTCTATTTTGTACCATTTTCTTGTTTAACTTTAGCATGTTGTTGACCATGAATCATAACCCTCCCTGTTTCTTTGGGTGGAAGGAATCGCACGCCGACGGGAGACTCCGGCTGCTGCATGTGCGGTTCTGGGTTTCAGTCCCCGGGCTGCTGGCTTGTAAATATCCACCTCGCCAACTCGCCTAAAGAACGTGGCGTCAAGCAGAGTGTGTCTTTGTTTGGGTTTATTATTATGGCTTTGTTTTTTATTTTTATTTTTGGTAAGTAGAGACCGGCACTTTGCATCAGCATCAGAAAGCAACTTTGTCTCGGGCACCCTGGAAGTAGCAAGTTCTCTCTTTCTTCCTCGCCTCCATCCAGTCCGCTGCCCTATCGCTTTGGTTTTCCAGTTTCGTCGGGCTTTGAGAAGGAGAGGATTCAGTCTCAGCCCCGAGTACCAGGGCAAGGGCAGCTGCGAACTTGCGCACCTTTGAGACCCGACGGGTCCCGCTTGTAAGATCCTCTCCTAGTCTGCAGACCAAACTGACTCTCCAAGGAGAAAGGAAAAGAGCTCTTGTTTGCTTTTGAGTGTTACAAGAATCACCCCAGGGCCCCTTTGCCACCTCCAAGGCCCGAACTAATTGTAGCGGCCGCTGAGAGGGAGCCCTTGATCACCCGAACTTGCATCGACCACCACGCTCTGAATGTACCGAAAACCCCACCCTGGGCAAGTCATTTTTGCAACTTTTGCAAGTGTGTTCTTGAGATCAACTCGTTCTGTGCGTTTCTTTGCCTGCTTTTGAAATAGCCGGCGAGATGTTGGTGGGATCCGCCCCTCCCCCCTCCCCCTTCGGTTGTATAATAGTTAAAGGGAAGATCTGGGTGGCTTTATTTTTTAATTATTATTGTTACTTTTTCCCCCCTGCAGGTCAGTAAAAGGATTTAAGTTGCACTGACAAAAATACCAAAATGAAAGCATATTTTTTAGTCCCCATTTGAAATTGCTGGCGCTGCTGGCCGGATGCATTTTTGAGTTTGTATTAGTTGATAAATTAACAGGAATAACAAGATTGTATGAACAGCATGGTGCTTGCAGTTTTAAATATTGTGGATATTCGTCCTGCATCAAAAAACGAGCTTCGGTTTTTACGGATTCAACTGTGTTGAAATCAAACTTGCCGCAATGGAAATTGTTTTTATTTCATGTAAAATAAGGGATCAATTTCAAGCCCCTGCTTATGATATGAAAAATATTAAAACCTAGTCTATTGTAGTTTTATTCAGACTGGTTTCTGTTTTTTGGTTATTAAAATGGTTTCCTATTTTGCTTATGAAACCCATGGAAATGGTGTTTATTTAGAGGACTCCGCGCTCGTCTGACCTGGCCTTTCTTATCTTGCCCTTTCAACAGCCACACCAACCGGGCAAGCAACCCCTTGGCCCACGGAAATCCCAAACCTCGTCTGGGCACAACTCCCCTTTGAGAGTCTGAGTGGGAGCAGACCTCAAACATGTTCTCTGTTCCCCACTTTAGGTGCAGATCCCTGGTCAGGAGTCCTGTGAGTGGAGAGGGTGCAGGTCTGAGAGACCTTAGAGTCAGTCCCCAAGCAGGGGCCAGATGTCACCTTTGTGGTCTTGCAGGTGCTGGGCACAGGGCCGGCTAACCTACAGGCTCTGAGGTCCAGGTCCACTCTGACTGAGCCTGGGGGAGCCGGGCGTTCCCAGCCCGAAAGAGAGCTGGGGCTTCCTGGTGCTGAGTCTCCATGCCCAAGGCTTATGTCTTCCCTTTTGGGCTACCTGGTCCTTGACCTTCTCCAGCCCTGGCAGACAGGGCTGCCCTGGAGCTAGAATGCCTGCCCTGGATGCAATTAAGACCCAGCACCAGGTTTGGGTACAGGACACTTCCAGCCAAGAAGCCTCTCTGTCAGGTCTTGTTGTCTGGGGAGGTATGCTCAGAAGTGGCTCAGGGGCCTGGAGCCCAGTAGCAGAGCACTTGCAAGGCGGGGCCTGGGTGTCACTGACTCCCCAGAATCCTGCCAAGGAGGCCGTCTGAGGCAGCCTTCTCCAGGCCCAGTGGCACTGTCTGCGCCCAGGAGCTCTGCTCCAAGAAGACCTTCTTGTCTAGGCTCTTCAGGGGTGCTAGCCTAGCTTGCCCCAAATGCCTTCTGGCCTCTTTGGAATCCTGGTCTGTAACTCAGGGCCCCAATCATCTTGAAAGCAGGACCCCCGAATCCACTTCTATCTGCAGGGGCAGGCGCCCAGGGACTTCCAGGGCTCCCCAGCAGCGATTCCCTGGTAGGGAGGCCCCAGCTTGTTCTTTGGCTGGAACTTGATGATCCCACTGGGGCTTGGTACCTCAGGTGGGAAGCAGAGCACCCTGGAAGAGTGGGGTTCTGGGCAATTAGAGGTGGGGAGAGCCTGGGAGCAGGAAGGGGAGGGTGAAGTTAGCAAGAAGTAGATCCCAGAGACATGGGGGTAAGGGTCTAGAATGCTGTCAGGGTGAAAACAGCCCCCGAAACCAAGGCTGCAAATAATGTCGGCAGATCTCACATTTTTATAGAGCTTTGGTGTTCACTAGGCCAGGAGACTGAATTTAATCCCAAGGGACCTGGTGGGAATGCTTTCCTTGGGATGGGAGAGGCAGGGACAGCCCATAAGCCTGTGCTTGAGCAAGGGGATGAAGGAGCAAAAGGTGCCATCAGTAGGGTAATGACCAGTGCTGGTGTGCAGGCACTTGATAGGAACCTGTCCATGTACAAGTGCATCCCCTTTGGGGCGAAGGAGGACTCCGGTGGAGACCCACTTCCCCTACACCTGGAGGAAAGGCAGTGGCTGCCAAGGAGATCACGATGGGGGCTGTGGGTGGGGAGGCGGTGAACGCTGTATACCCTGGGCGGCCTGGCTTCCCATGTCAATGTCCCCAAGTGGACTGGCATCTCGGACTTCAGAGTTACAGACTCTGGGCACGAAAAGCCAAGGTGCTGGGGGAGGGAGGTGAACTCAGAAGGTGAGTCTTCCTCTTACCAGGCAGTCACTGCATACCCAGAAGGAACGGTGGGAGAAGTGGACAGCCTCAAGCAGAGCGACACACTGAGACACACAGATGCCCACCAAGGCGCTGCCAGGCCCTGCACCAGCTCACCATCAGGGCATCCAGACTGGAGCGCACACAGGGAGAGTTGGCCAGAGCGGGGAGCGTTCAAGTTGAGACCCGGCTGGGGAGCCGCCTGGGCAGGCATGCTCAGCAAGCAGGCGTCCCCACCCCTCTGTCCCCAGCCTGCCGCCACCTGACCGGCGCCGCACAAGCCCTGGAAAAGCGTTGGGCCCCCAGGCACACCGGCTCGGCCCACTCTGGCGGCGCCCTGCAGCCCTTATCCCAGCCGCGGGCTGCGCGGCTCCCTGAGGGCCTCTCTGCCTGGAGGGAACTCCTCCCTGCGCCCGGAGCCTTGCAGCCCATACGTACTAGCTCCACGCTGACCGGCGGGCGTCTGCAGCGCGGGGCGCGTGGACACAGGCTCACACCAGGTGAACCCGCGCGCGGGGCCATGCAGCCCGTACGTACTAGCTCCACGTTGACCGGCGGGCGTCTGCAGCGCGGGGCGCGTGGACACAGGCTCACACCAGGTGAACCCGCGCGCGGGGCCAACGCTGGGCTAGGTCTGTCCCGCCCTCCCCGCCCCCCCCCACCCCGGTTCCAGAGTGGGTGCAATGGGAAGCACTCTTCCTGTGAGCCCGGATTTCTCGGGTGTGCGCTGGCCAAGCCAGTTGGAACAGCCGCCTCCTCCAGCGAGCGGGACAGGAGGCAAGGCGCTGGAGTGCCAGCGGCAGTAGTCCTCGCCGCCTGTCGCCGGGCACCCTCACTTCTCTTTGCCATTTCCCATTCTCTCAAGCGCCCCCCCCCC